AGAGCCACACCTCCTATCACTTACTCACTCAGAGCCACGCCTCCCCTCTCTCACTCACTCAGAGCCACACCTCCTATCACTTACTCACTCAGAGCCACGCCTCCCCTCTCTCACTCACTCAGAGCCACACCTCCTATCACTTACTCACTCAGAGCCACGCCTCCCCTCTCTCACTCACTCAGAGCCACACCTCCTATCACTTACTCACTCAGAGCCACGCCTCCCCTCTCTCACTCACTCAGAGCCACACCTCCTATCACTTACTCACTCAGAGCCACGCCTCCCCTCTCTCACTCACTCAGAGCCACACCTCCTATCACTTACTCACTCAGAGCCACGCCTCCCCTCTCTCACTCACTCAGAGCCACACCTCCTATCACTTACTCACTCAGAGCCACGCCTCCCCTCTCTCACTCACTCAGAGCCACACCTCCTATCACTTACTCACTCAGAGCCACGCCTCCCCTCTCTCACTCACTCAGAGCCACACCTCCTATCACTTACTCACTCAGAGCCACGCCTCCCCTCTCTCACTCACTCAGAGCCACACCTCCTATCACTTACTCACTCAGAGCCACGCCTCCCCTCTCTCACTCACTCAGAGCCACACCTCCTATCACTTACTCACTCAGAGCCACGCCTCCCCTCTCTCACTCACTCAGAGCCACACCTCCTATCACTTACTCACTCAGAGCCACGCCTCCCCTCTCTCACTCACTCAGAGCCACACCTCCTATCACTTACTCACTCAGAGCCACGCCTCCCCTCTCTCACTCACTCAGAGCCACACCTCCTATCACTTACTCACTCAGAGCCACGCCTCCCCTCTCTCACTCACTCAGAGCCACACCTCCTATCACTTACTCACTCAGAGCCACGCCTCCCCTCTCTCACTCACTCAGAGCCACACCTCCTATCACTTACTCACTCAGAGCCACGCCTCCCCTCTCTCACTCACTCAGAGCCACACCTCCTATCACTTACTCACTCAGAGCCACGCCTCCCCTCTCTCACTCACTCAGAGCCACACCTCCTATCACTTACTCACTCAGAGCCACGCCTCCCCTCTCTCACTCACTCAGAGCCACACCTCCTATCACTTACTCACTCAGAGCCACGCCTCCCCTCTCTCACTCACTCAGAGCCACACCTCCTATCACTTACTCACTCAGAGCCACGCCTCCCCTCTCTCACTCACTCAGAGCCACACCTCCTATCACTTACTCACTCAGAGCCACGCCTCCCCTCTCTCACTCACTCAGAGCCACACCTCCTATCACTTACTCACTCAGAGCCACGCCTCCCCTCTCTCACTCACTCAGAGCCACACCTCCTATCACTTACTCACTCAGAGCCACGCCTCCCCTCTCTCACTCACTCAGAGCCACACCTCCTATCACTTACTCACTCAGAGCCACGCCTCCCCTCTCTCACTCACTCAGAGCCACGCCTCCTATCACTCACTCAGAGCCACACCTCCTATCACTTACTCACTCAGAGCCACGCCTCACCTCACTCACTCACTCAGAGCCACGCCTCCTATCACTCACTCA